GGTGGGGAGCAGGGATAGGGGTGAGTAGAGGAGCAGGGGTGGGCGTCTGCAGGCACACAGCTCAGGGTCGATGGGAAGAGCAGCGGGAGGGGTCTTGAGGCACACATTTCACAGCTGAGCCTTCAGATCCTTGTAGACATCATGGGAGCTTAGCAGCAAGTTGCTGGTAAAAAGAGCAAGCCCTCTACGGGCTGAGACCATCTCCACATCTCTGTCCTGTCTTTGACCCCCTAAGACTTTGACCAAGCTTTCCTGGCTTAATGGCAGGGAGGCAGGAGATTTCCTAGATTGTTTAAATGAGGAAAATCAATCCCATGTGGAAGGCAGAATGTTCTAATCCTATTAGGCTCAGCACGAGTCCTAATAATGACCTGGAATTCTTTGTACACTCTCGGGTGCCCCTCACATAGCCGTCATCTCATCTGACTAGACCCGAGAGTGCATGAGTTCACCTTTCAGATATTGTCGTTACAGTTTGCTAAAGCTATTACCCGATTCCTTCGGGTCAACCCCACCCTCGGGATAAATCTCAGCCCATGGTCACTACTGAGGTCACCCAGTCATTAGGACTGTCTGGGAGTCCCCCCCCAAAAAAATGCAGGAAAGACCCTAGGAGAACTTCAAGTATCAGGCAACCACTGAGCCCTCCTGGTCCTAGACCCATCCGGCAGCACAGTGCCACCATTTCTTCATTTTTACTTGATTTATGCATTTCACCCCCTATGAACCTGGAGAGAGGATGAAAGTCACCCAAGTGTTGAGGACTTCTCCTTCATAGGGTCACTATGAGTTGCCTACGCCTTGACAGCACTTAACAACAAACAACAACCCCCAATCAAAGGGATCACATCTCCAGCATCAGTACAGACACGACCACAGGTTCGATATTCTAGGGACAGAAAAAAAACATATTTGTTGATGTGCCGCTTGAAAAATTCTTGTATGTAAAGATTCTTTTGGGGTTAAAGCGTTGAGTTGCTGCTGATTGAGGAGCCAGAGGTTTGAGTCCACCCGGAAGTGCCTCAGAAGAAAGGTCTGGTGATCTTTTTCCAAATATCAGTCACTAAAGACCCTCTGGATCCATGAAGACTGGCAGAACACCCAAGACTATGGCCTGTGATCATGCTTCAACCCGGGAGCAAAATCACTCCTGCGCTCAACTTTGCACCAAACAGCAGACAGGCCTGGGAAGGGAGCTGTATCACCAGGGAGGCGCACTCTCCACAGAACAGCCAACCCCAGGAGGGCAAAAAGGCAGCATCTGTCCGAGGCCCCAAAGGCAGGAAGGGATAGAATACAAGGTTAATGGAGATGAGACTCACAGGGGTGAAGTGGGAGGAGTGCAGTCACATTGTGGGCATTGCCACAAAACAGCATGTGTACAAATGGTCAAATGGAAACCCAGCATGTTCTGTAAACTTTTACTCGGTTCACAGTGAATTAGAGAAAAAGCATTCCACAAAAATCTCTATCACACTCTCTCCTCTAGCCCATGGCCTCTGCTCCGCCCCCACACCCGAGCATGCACCCACCTCATGACCCTCCTCTCCCCTCTGTCCCCTGGGCCTGGCACACGTGTCCCTTCAGATCCTGATGACCTGTGTCCTGCAGGCCTCCTGTCTCACCTCGTGTCCCCCAGGCTGCTCAGCCACCTCCAGCACTGACCCCAGCGCCGTCCTCCTGTCCTGCCCACTCCAGGATGGGCCCCTTCTGTCCTGCTTACCCCAAACGGGCCCCCTCAGCCCTGCTCACCCCAGAACAGGCCCCCTCAGTCCTGCTCACCCCGGGACGTGCCCCCTCCTGTCCTGCTCACCCTGGGACAGGCCCCCTCAGTCCTGCTCACCCCAGGACCAGCCCCCTCCTGTCCTGCTCACCCTGGGACAGGCCCCCTCTTACCTTACTCTCTCCGGGGGCCCCCTTCTGTCCTGCTCACTCTGGGGTGGGCCCCCTCCTGCTCTGCTCACCCTGGAACACAGCAGCCTTTCCTTACCGTCCTTTCTCACCGTTGGTTAGAACCACACACTTGGTCTTTCTCAGACAGAAGCACACTTGCCGAGGTTTTCTCTAACTGCAGTGCTCCTGAGGGAAACAGGTCCAAGCAGCCTCCTGACCCTCCCAGCACCCTGGGGAGCTCCAGGCCTCTGGTGGCCTCTTGACCATGAGCACAGTACGCTGACCGCTAAGTGTCCTGCCCTGGTAGTTTGCTGGGACCGGCACCACTGAACAAGTTTCCCAGCTCTGTGTAGTCATTTAAAGACATTAAACTCTTGATCTTGGAATGTTTTTTCTTTGAAATCAAAGGTTTTGGCTTCTCTGGAAAAACATTAGCATTTTAATCAGTACCATTAAGGTGCCTACCCTGCACCCCACCCCTATGCGTGAAACTCCCACAGCCTGGCGGTCCCCATTGTGGGGGTGAAAGTCCATTCTGCTCCCAGAGTGGAGGTGGGGGCCAGCGGGTGGCCTCTGGGGGCCCTGAGCAGCCTCCTGCATTTTAAAGCCCTGGGAAATTAATGAAGGGATTGAGAAGAGCTGGGCTAGGGTGCCATGGGAAAAGCAGAACTGGGTGAAACCAAAAACATCAAGATGCCAGGGGCCCATGGGCCAGGTCATCCTGCCCCGCTTTGTCCCTGTGCCTGGTTCTCCACTCAGGAGTAGGGCGGGGCCTCTGGGGCCCCCTGAGCCCAGAGCAGCTCTTCCCTGGTTCCTCATCCAGGGCCCCACACTCTGGAGGCTCCCTTCCCTCATCTGAAAGTCCCCCACAGGAACGCAGATGGGCCTCCCCCCAACAGCAAGGTCCTTGGTTGCAAATAAAACAGGTCAGTTTCTGGACCCAGTTGATAATCACACCGGGAAACGCAGCTTATGAGGGAAGGGCCGGGAGTTGCTGAGACTTCACACAGCAAAGCTTATGCCCCCTCAGCCTTTTCAGTGGGTAAATTCAGTGAGGCTGAGTCCGTTCCATGAGTGGTTCCCACATTCCCACCCTCTCTTCCCGAGTTGTTCTCCCCTGTTGACATAAGCTCACCATCCCCTAACCGTCCGATCATGCCAGTCGCTGTTGCTAACTTCATCCCGTTGTTGTTACTGACGTTGCTGTTAGGTGCCATCGAGTCCCCGGCAGCCTTGCGAACGATACACAGGCTCCTTGCCTACCTCACACCATCCTCACCACGTCTGCCAGACTCAAGCCGCTGCTGCCGTAACTGTGTCCGTCGCCTGTTGAGTGTCCTCCTCTCTTTCACTGACCCACCGTTTCCCAGCATGCTGTCTTCGCCCCTCCTGACAGCATTCCTGGCGTGTGGGATGGAGTTTCACCTCCTTGTGTCCCAGGAGCACTTGATTGCACTTCCTCCCAGAGAGACCTGTTTGCCCTTTCAGTATATTCACACTGCCAACTTCACAGTTCAAAGACATTACATTTCCCTTGGCTTTTGTTAGTCCCGGTCCACCTTTCATATACATATGTACATGTTATTAAGGGCTGTCACAACGCACAGAAACCCTGTGACGGCAGAGCTGAAGGTTGTCCGTCCTGCACTGTCCCTGCCAAGCCCAAGCTCACTGATGTGGACACAACATCAGACCATCTCGTTTGCGGTCACTGTGTCAGTCTATGTCATTGAAGGTCTTCCTCTCTTTCACTGACATACTTTTCCAAACACAGCTCGTGCATATAGTGCTTAAAAGATCACAATTCAAGGGAGCTCCAGTGGTCTAGTGGCAAGAAGCTGCACTGCAATCCTAGAGGTACACGGTTCAAATCTACCAGATGCTCTGCTGGAGGAGGGAGCAATCTCCTCCTGTACCAGTCAGATCTGATTTGATGGTACACGCACAAAAATATAATAAAATTTAAAAAAAAAGATGACAATTCCAAGGCAGACATCCTACAAGGGAAAATGTTATGTTAGGAGATCGTTTTACTGAGTGAGAAGCGTGTAATAACACATGTAGATGTTTGACGTATCTTCAACCCCATTGGCTCCGAAGGAGAAGGACCGATCGTCCACCCTTGCTCTCAGCTGTGCAGACCCCATGGGCAGGCCTTCTCTTGCTCCCTGACGTCACTGACCAGCAGAACGTGGCAGGGTGGGATTTTCATGGGATAGAGAGTGTACCAACTGAAGGAGGAATGTGCTACTCCTGCCGTTCACAGTGGACACGTTGAAACTGATGTGCTTTTCAGGAAATATACTTAGAAGGTGTAATGACCTTCCCTGGATGGACGGATTGGGCCTTTGGTAGACACAGACCTTACAAGCTAACCCCGGAACCTGCCTTCTACAGGGTACAGGGTAGAGGATGAACCTGTAGATGTTTATGACTTAAAATATCTTTGCATCAGTGGGTTGACATTGGTAATATACACAGTGCACGTTAATCGTCTGCCATACTCAGGCAGCTTGTGTTTTGCTGTGAGACTGGAAGACTGAGGTGCACCTGTCCCGAGCCAGGCTGGTTTCAGTTGCTTCATGTGCTTGTGAAAGCCATGGATAAGGAAGACTGAAGCACCAGTGTCGCCGAATGGTGGTGCTGGCACAGAACATTGACTATCCCATGATCTGTCAGAAGAACAAACGAATCTGTCCTGGAGGAAGTGAAGCAGAGAGCTCGTGGAGCTGAGGATGGTGACCCTCCGTCTTCCGTCCTTCAGGGACATTGTCAGGAGGGGGCGAGGCCCTGAAGAGGGACATCACACTTGGAAAAGTAGAAGGTCAGCGGAGAAGAGGCAGGATCGCAAAAGAGACGGCAAGGTGATGGGCCGGAGCATGGCAGGGGTGGGAGGGTGGCACCGGGGCCGCAGTGATGAGGCATTGCAGACCCAGAGTAAAGTATTTTTATAATTATTAATAATGAGACAGAGAGCCAGAATGAGATAGAACAGAGAGCATAAAACTGGGCCCCAGCAGTTCTCACAGGAGCTTCCCTGTATCTTTACTGAAAATTATCAGGAACTAAATCACAAAGAGAATTGAATGCAAATGAAGCCAAGCTCTTTCTATTAAAAACCTTCCCCTCTGCTCAGGAGGGAGGGGTCAGCAAATACAATGCAAGAATCTGGTAAACCCTTAAGGATGGCCTTGGTGCCCAACGATGAATTCTATCCTGACATAGCATTAGGTTTATTACAGATATTTAGTACTGGCTTCCCACAATGAGATGATGGACAGACAGGGATGATGACACATGCTGACAGATGTGAGGACACCGCAGGTCCAGGCAGTGTCTGGTTCTGACACCTGCTCGTCTGCCACACTCTGACCACCTGGCTGACTGATGTGCACCAGGAGCAATGGTATAAAACAACTACAGAGCAGCCATGGGCACAAGTACAGCCCCATGGTGTCCTTCCCAGCTCTTTACCCTGGTCCTCACCCTCAGTTCTACTCTGGTCACCTGGCCAATCTGGGTGGACAGCACCCCAGAGCTGGAGCCTAACCCCCAGGGTCGCCTCAAACACACTTCCATGTGGCCCCTCTCTGCCCCGAGCAGGGTCACCTGTGTCCAAAGGGTGGGCCCATCTCTCAAGTTTCCACCGTCCTGCAGAAGGACACGTGTGATGAGCTCACCACCTTCACGCCCTGATGTGAGCCTTCCCAGAGGAGATGTGTTCTCAGCCCGCTTCTCAAACTCTGTCCCTGCAGCTTGTGTCACTCAGAGCTGGTCCTTCACATTCTCTCAGAGAGCTTATCCTCAAACCATGTCCCCCTCGCCTGACTAGTGGGTGACATGTGGCCCTTTGTAGGCCTGGGGAGTCTGACTTGTCCTCCTAAGCCTGTGGTCCACAGCCTGCCTCCCCCAAGTGAAGCAAGCACCCCTGGCCACTATGTGGGGAATACCTCGCCAGACCCTTTCTGGCCCCAGAGAACTCCATGGTCTTGGGAGGTCAGCATCCAGCTCTGCCATTGTCCTGACTCATTTTGAACACTGTGTCACCTCCCATCATCCTGTCATTGTCCAGGACCACAGGTTCCTCGTGCCATCTCTGAAACGCCCACCCAGCAGGGTCCGGGGGCCCTGCATCTGCCTTGCTGACCTGTCCTTTGGATGTGATGGCTATCCGGGTCACAGTTGTCCCCAGTGGCAGCTCATCCTCTGCAGGGCCTGGTCACCACTGAATCACCCTTAACTTAGTGTCACTGACGGAGTTTCCGTGGGTTGAAAATCAGGCCTTTCTTCTGAGGTGCCTCCGGGTAGACCTGATGCTCCAATCTTTAGTTCACAACAGAGCAAGTAACTGTTCTCATACACCTCCTCGGGAGGAAGAAAGAATCAGGGCAGAATGCGTGCGGCCGGTGGAGCTGGGCTGGGGCTCAGCCCGTGCCCTGGCACTGCCACTGTGCGTTCACCAGGATTTCACTTCATTTGGATCCATGGTCAACACCCATGGCAGCCACAGGAAGGAGATGAAACAATACACAGCATTGAGCAGAGGATTCTTTAAACTGTCAAAGAGCAAAGATACCACTTTGAGGGAAAAGGGCACATGACCCAAGCTTTGGTATCTTCCATTGTCTCATATACTCTTGAAACATATGCTGCAGAAGATCAAAGACTATACAGCCTTCAATCTGTATTACATCTAAACATCAAGAAAACAAAGATCCTCACTGTTGGGCCAACAGGCAACATCATGATGGTGGAGAAAAGATTGAAGTTGTCAACGATTTTATCTTACTTGGATCACCAGTCTGCATGCTTGGTACCAGTATTCAGAAGATCAGGAGAGGTAATGTATTGGGCAAGTCAGCTGTCTAGGATCTCCCCAAATTATTGAGAAACAATGGTGTCAGTTTGAAGACAAACTGTGCCTGACTCAAGCCATAGTCTTTTCCTTCACTTGCTATGTGTCTGAGAATTAGATGGCAAATAAGGATGGCAGAAGAATTGATGCCTTTGCATTGTGGTGTTGGAGGACAGTACTGAATATCCCTTGAACTGCCTCAGGAACAAACAAATGTCTTAGAGAAAGTGGGGCCATAGTGCTCCTTGGAGGCAAAGAGAGTAAAGCTTTATCTAACATCCTTGGAGCATGTTTCTAGGAAAGGCTATTTCTCAGAAAGGGACATCATACTTGGAAAGGTGGAACGTCAGCAAAAAAGAGGCAAACCTCCAACTAGATGGATTGACAAAGTAACTGCAGCAATGGGCTCAATAATATCAGAAAAAAAATGAGGAGGGCACAGGATCGAATAAATTTCAGATCTTTTGTTCATAGGGTCGCCATGTATCATACACGAATCAATAGCACCTAAATACTATGGGCTATAAAAAAAAATAAACTATGTGTCAAAAGCACATCACTCTCTAGGAAGTACAGGTAGAATGCTCCCGTAAAGCGAGAATGGGGAGACTGTCACACATACTCTGGGCCTGGTGTCAGGTAGAGTCAACCCCTAGTGATGGACAACATGCTTGGTCAAACGGAGGGTAATGAAAAAGAAGACCTTCAACACGATAGATTGACATCGTGGTTAAAACAATGATCTCAAACACAGAGAAGTTTGTGACGAGGTTGCAAAAACAGACGATGTGTCATTCTGTTGTATGTGAGGTCACTATCAAACCAAGTGAGAGACACTTAACAACAGTGCTGTGAGTTAGAAGTGTTTCGTCCATCAGAAAAGGAAACAGAGGCTGAGAAAGGCCAGGACCAACAGATACAAAGTAGGACAGGGTCTATCAGTGTTCTCAGGCTGCTGAGATAAAGTACCACTAACTGGACAGCTTACAGGAGCAGGTAATTGCTCTCTCACAATTCTAAAGGTTAGAAGTTTGAAAGTGAAGTGCCAGCTGGGCCATGCTCTATCCAGAGCGTCTGGAGGAATCTCTTCCTCGACACCCTTACAGCTCCTGGCGGTTCTTGGCCATCCTTGTTCTTCCTTGACTAGTGGCAGCATCTCTCCATTGTCTGCCTCTGTCCTCACGTGACTATCTTTCTTCTGGGTGGCTGTATCGTTCTTTTTTATGGGACATCACTCATTGGATTAAGGGCTCAACTTGACCTCCTGTTAATAACTAGCAAATAACTCCCATACCTTACTGACTTTTTTTTTAACATCAATTCAGATTTGTGTTTTATATTATGGTAATTGCTTTTCTGAAAACATATGCTGATTTTATTGTTGGGTTTTTGTTCATTCTTACCCTTCGTCTCTCTGGAATATAGCTATCTGGAAGAACAAAGATGAATCTTGGAACTTCCACCAGGACTATGATCCAGAAATGATTAAAGACGAGAAACGGAAGGAATTAGAATCTGAGCTCAGGGTGCAGGTATAGCTGCATTTGTATCATAGTAATAGCAAGTCAGTAACTGCAGAATTGGGGGGGGGGGTTGTTTGTTTTCTATTAGTGACATTATCTCAGAACTTAAACTATTTCAAATCTCATAAAACACTGAAAAGTGGTATGTGTTTTTCATTCACCAAGGTTGATGAGTTGATGAGACAGGAATTGAAGAATTTAAAACTCGTTGTGGACAGAGAAAAGGAATTACCAACCAAAGGAAAGAGAGAAGGTAAAAAGGTGAGTCATGAACAAGTGTGGGCAGGAGTGAGGCAAGTGGTGTTGTCCAGATGGCCACATAAGTCAGAGCAAGACCACTCAGTAGGATTCTTAGGGGGTGACTTTTCAAAAGTAGATCTCCAGGCCTTACTTGCGAGATGCCTCTGGGTAGATTTGATCCACAAACCTTTCAGTCATTAGACAAGCACTCAAACATTGTGTCATCCAAGGGTCTCCTGATCATGCCTTTAATATCTTCCAAGTTAAGTAATCACATCTGCAGACCTAGATGTTGTGATGATTGGACACAGCCGTCAAGGCAAAGAAAGGAGAGACTGAAGACATAAGCGACAGTCTCCCAGTGCCTAAAACCAGGCTTTCTCCTTTTCAGCCACACATTAATCATCAGCCTAGACTTCCTCACCCTCCTTCCCTTTGTTTTAAGCCCAATGTCTTCCTCTGTTCTGGAATGAGTAGCTGTGAATGTCCCTCTTGGAGTGATTCTGGTTGAACACACAGTGGACAAAATCAAAGTAATTACATGGCTATTATGGCGTTTTTAATAAAGCACTTACTGCTGAATATCAAAGACTACAGTTTGTAATGGTAGTGACATCTCAACAGCAAGAAAATAGAAAGCCTTACCCTTAGACCAAATGGCAACATCATGATTGATGAAGAAAAGATTGAAATGGTCAGTGACTTCATTTTACTTGGATCCACAGTCAATAACCTTAGTACCAGCAGTCAAGAAATCAAAAGACAGCGTGATTTTCCCCTGGTCTTTCTCTCTCTCCAGACCAAGGAATCATACTCAGGAGCCCCCTTAATAAAGCTACTTTAGATTTCTCTTTCTCTCTGGTCCCTTCCTTAAGTCCTTAGCCTTACATCCAGTGCAAAGACCTAACATCCTGGTGCCAAAACCCAGGAGAGGAGCCAAGGCGTGTTGCACCCCCACTCTCTTTTGGGGCAAATGTGGCGCCCCTCACTCTCTCTCTTGACCCCACCATCTCACACAGTGTCAAGACATCAAACTGATAAAAGAAATGATCAAATTGAACCAGCTGCTGTGACATCCCTATTCTCCCCTGGCTACTGGTGCTGGGCCAACCCAATCCACTCTGAGCCCCAGATCTTTGCCCCTGTTCAGCAGGAAGTAGCTAGAATAAAGATAAATCACCCCTTTTCTCACTAAAGAGGCTGGGATGTCCTGCCCAAGCCAAGGTCAAAGGAGGAGAATGAAGGATTCAAAGAATATCAACATGTCAACAAAAGGAGTGAACAGCCTTTACCCAACTGGCTAAACCACAATGGAATGCCCCTCCCTTCACTCCCTAAAGACTCTTACTATAAAAACCTGCCCAACCCACCTTAGGGCTTGGTTTTCCCCTATTCTGTCTCTCTCTCTCTCAAGACCAAGGAATCCCACCTGGGAGCCCCCTTAATAAAGCTTCTTTAGCTTTTTCTTAAAAAAAAAAAAATCAAAAGACATATCGCATTGGGGAAATCTGCTGTCAAGGACTTCTTGACAGTGCTAAGGAGCAAGATTGTTATTTTCAAGACAGGTTCAACTGATCCAAGCCACGGGCTTTTCATCTACCTCTTACATCTTTCAAGGTTTGACAATGACTAAAGATGGCAGAAGAAGTAACAATGCCTTTCAGTTGTGGTGTTGGTGAAGAGTATTGAATATCTCACTGACTTGCCAAAAGAACAAACAAATCTGTCTCACAGGAAGTTCTACCAGCGTGTTCCTTTTTTTGAGGCAGGAATGGTGAAATTTTGTCTCACTTTGGGCAAATGTTTGGGAGGAACCAGTTCATAGAGAGAGAGACTGTTCTAGGAAAGGTTGAGTCGGCAAAAGAGGAGCACTGTCAACAGAATGAATTGACACAGTGACAGCCACAGTGGGGTGGAATGTGATGGCTCAGGACAGAGTAACCTACAGGCCTGTTGTTTACAGGGTGCCATGAGTTGATTCAACAGCACCCAACAGCCAACTTCTTCCCGAGGTTTTTTTTAAAGTTGTGACTTAGGTGAAAGTTTACAGTGGAAATTCATTTTCCATTTAATAGTTTGTATACATTTTGTTTCGTGACATTGGTTGCCATCCCCTCAATATAATAGCATGCTCTGTTCTTCTTCTCAGGGACCCCAGTTCTACTCACCCTTCTTTCCAACCACATCCTGCCTTCTGAGCTTCATTTTTGGGGAAATGCTGCCCTTTCTCATCCTTAGACACCTTTAAGACTAAAAATGAACCCATCTCAAGGGATCTTCTGGCAGTCAGATAACAGACAAGCCTGGACACTGAACATTAACACTGATGAGGAATTATAGCGATAAGCAGTAGAAGTATCAATGAATTGGTTGCTCTTGAGAACAATGAGCTCAACATGCTGTGAAGTTTTGAACACTCAGATTAGCCTGCGTGACATTGATACCTTCCTGAGAAGCATCAATGGAAAGTTATGTGACAAGTGGCATGAGGAATGAGACAAAGGGAAGTGGAAGTCACATTGGTCACATGTGAGGCTGAGGGGATGAGAGGATGTTGCCTAATCCTTTGTGCAGCAAGAAGTAACCAAATCAACCAGTGGCGGTTGAATTGGCCCTAACTCATGGTGATCATTGATACTTTTAAATTGTGATGTTGGAGAACAGTCCTGAATATCTCATGAACTTCCAAAAGAACAAACAAGTCTGTGTTGGAAGAAGGGAAACCTTAGAGGCTCCTTAGAGGCAAGGAAGGTTCAACTTGGTCTCACATACTTTGGGCATGTTGTCAGGAGGTTAGAAAAAGATAACATGCTCTGGTAAGTGGAGGGTCAGAGAAAGAGAGGAAGACCCTCAACTGGTGGTTCAACACAGAAGAAATTCAACGAGGCATTTCTTCACAGAGATAATGGGAATGACACAGGATAGAGCAAGGGTCTGATCTGTTGTTCACAGGGTTGCTAGGAGTTGTGGACTGCTTGATGGTAGCTAACGATGAAGACGTGATGGTGTCTGGTGTTGGGGCAGAACTGTGCACCGTGGGCTTTGTGAGGCTGTGAGCATTCCCGCAGCCACAGGTTATATTTTAGGTAGAATAATGGCACAGTTAGAGCCCTTGTGGAAGTCGTGTCAGAGTCCATTCCTGTAGGCTCTCTGTCACAGATTGGATTTTGTAAAAAAAAATTTGTGTATCCATAGCTGGGCTACAATTCTCAGCGTTCATGGTGTTCTCTGTGTGTGATCTTAATGCAGGCATTCTCCAAGCTGTGAACCTTCCCTCTAGGATATTACTGAGGTTGGATCAGAGGCAGTTAGGGAGCTCTGGTGGCCTGGTAGTAAGAATTGTGCTGCAAACCTAAAGGCACACAGTTCGAATCCACTCTGCAAGAGAGAGATGGGTAGTCTCCTCTCCTGTAAATTTATTACCTCTGAAAATTTACTGGAGGGTCAGAGGTGGGTCAGTTCCAACTCAGATGGCACATCACAACAACAACAAGAGATGGTTACCTAGAGCAGCGTGCAGTCTGCAAGGTTAGGTCATATCTTGAGTCAATCTCTTTTGAAAGATAAAAACCCTATACTGATTTCCACCAAGTTGAGACCAACTCATAGCAGATACCACCCCACCCCCACCCCCAACCTCCGCCAATGGATTTTCAGAGTCTTTAAATCATCAGAGAGGAAATTGAACATTGTTCTCTGGAGGAGCCACTGGTGGATTCAAACCACTAGGTGGGCGTCAACTTTGGCTTAGTCGCCCAAATTTCTAGCCATGAGACCATTAGAGCAACCTTTTTTGAGACAGAAGATTAAAGATTGTGAGGATGACACAGGGTCGGATGGACTTTCCTTCTGCTGTGTGTAGAGCTGTACCTCACATCAACAGGATACACAGGAACCGGCATGAGAGGGACCCACTCCCTCCAAGAAGGAAGATCCTGGAGTGGAGTGTGTCCTTTGGATGGAGGGTCCCCATGCTGAGAATCTGCTAGACCCAGAAGAAGCTTGACTCCAGGGCACGTGGAGATCCCCAGAGAATGCTGGACCCACAGATGCTGGAAGGAGACAGGGCCTTCCCCCGGGTGACAGAAGGGGAACCTCCCCTGGAGCCAGTACGCTCAGTTTGTCCTCCTCGCTCCTAGACCATGACAGCGTGAATCTCTGTTAAAGCCCTTCACTTGTAGTACTTCTGTCACAGATGCCCTATTAGAGAACTAGGACAGTATGGTCTATGTCCAGAGCCTCTGAGAACTAGAAGTCAGTGGGGATTGGTGACTGGGTCCCACAGACAATCAATAACTCTGTGTGGCCTGTCACCCTTGACAGAGTCCTGCATCAGGACCAAGGAAACACCAGGCCCTGGGGCCTGGTGGAAGCCCAGCCTCACATGGGTCCCTCTGTGGAGACCCCACCTTCTAGCCACACAGGACGTGTCATCATCATCTCCCTCGGACTTCCGGTGGCAACCCTGTACTCAAGGACACGTGGCTCCTTCACCTTCCCTGTAGCCTTGACCTTTCACCTCTCCCCACCCCCACTCAACCCCAGATAAGGTTCGTTTGCCTCATTTCCTGGGCTGATTACTTCCTGGCTTTAACTAAATTGTGGGGTATGTCCATTCTCTTCCAGAAGGCGAAAGAGAAGAAAGGCAAAAGAAGGGAGAAGAAGGATAAGGACCTGACCGAGAACAGGTGGGGAAGCACCTGGTGTCATAGAAGACAGGTGATGAGGTGTGGGGGATTCAGGGCCCGGGACAGCTCTGAATCACCCTGTAAACCAGTGAAGAGGTGAGGGAAGCACCTGGTGTCATATAAGGAGGTGGTGAGGTATGGGGGAGTCAGGGCCCAGGACAGCACTGAACCACCCTGTAAACCAGTGAACAGGTGAAAGAAGCACCTGGTATCATATAAGGAGGTGGTGAAGGAGCAGTGTGGGGGGAGTCAGGGCCCAGGGCCGACCTGTAAACCAGTGAACAGGTGAGGGAAGCACCTAGTGTCATATAAGGAGGTGATGAGGTGTGGGGGAGTCAGGACCTGGGGCAGCACTGAGCCACCCTGTAAACCAGGCACCCTGAAGCCCACCAAGTCACAGCGCCCGCTGGTGTGTCAGAGTAGAACTGTGCTCCCTAAAGTTCACAATGTGGGAGCATTCAGTCATAAATCACCAGGCCTTTCTTCCAAGCCACCTCTGGGTAGATGGGAACCTCCAGCCTTTGAGGGAGGAGCCGAGCGTGTTTCTGGTTTGCAACATTCCAGGGCCCCCCTGGTCTTCCTGCACAGAAGACCTGTCATCCTGATCCCCAGGCACAGGGAGCAGTGGTCTCAGGACCAAGTCCTGGCCCCTTCATGCTCCTGAGGTCCCAGGATCTCGTCTCCTCCAACTAGAGGAAGTTGCATCTTCTTCCGACTCTGAGGAGACCCTGATTCTGAGGTCCTGGAGGGTGGAGGAGACATGGGGGAGACATTTGTTAATGAAGAGGAGAGGCCCACTGTGGTCCTGCGGAGGACAAGCCCGTGTCCTTGGCCTTTCCTCAGCTGGACACTGATCCTAATGCCCATTTTCAGATACTCGCTTTGGGTTTTTAAGGTGTTATGACCTTTACCTGTTCTGCTAGTAGAAGGAAACCATGCCTGAGTTTTCACATATATCCATGGAAGTGAGTTAACATCCCAGCAAACATACACCAGGAAACCCTTGACCACGCACCGTTCTTGCAGTGCGTTTTATGAGCAGGTCCCTGAGTGTGTTGCTCGTCATTTTGGGGTGCTCCCTAGGCCCCCTTTGTCTCCATTACTCACTGCAGGAGAGGGCAAGCTCGAGGAGGGTCCTTATGTTGACATTTCTGCTGTTGGCATTTGGGTTGGCGTCCGAAGGGAAATTGAGGGCATTGCCACTTCCGTGCTGATGTTAGGATGGCAGGAGTCGGACTCTGGGTCCACGATTCCTCAGAGGTAGAAACTCGAGGGCTCTCATGTAATGGCACTGAGCTGGTCAGAGAGCAGATGAACAACAGTTGAGTTACATTGTCAATGTACGTTTACACTTGTCCAGCTAAAGAGAGAACTTTCCAGTCCTTGGGAAAGACATCCTGCAGGGAAAGGTGGGTCAGTGAGAGAGGAAGGTCCTCGACGAGGTGGGCTGACATGGTGACTGGAGCAATGGCCCTGAGGTGGCACGGATGGGCCAGGGCTCAGATGTATTGTTCACACAGCTGCTGTGTGTCCTCGTGGGCCCAGACGTACCTACTAACGACCACAAAGCCAAGGAAAGACGGGGAAGGGGAGCAGAACAAAGACCTGGAAACGGAGGAGCAAAAGATCTCAAAACCGCACCCAGCATGCGTGCCTACAAGTTCCTACAAACCCGTCCAGAGGGCGGCCACGGCGGGTGGGGCTGGCCGGCTCCCTCCATGGGCACTGCGTGCGCTATAGGCCCCAGACCCTCGCGGGGACTAGAATGAAACATAAATTTCCCAGCGGACTAATGACCTGCTGCTGGGAGACACTAACTGAATGTGTAACTATGTGTAACTGTGTGGCCATTACTGGGTAATTTCTAATTCGAATTTGGGCCATCAGGAAGATGATGAAAGGGCAGGCCGGGGTTGGGGGAGAAGGGGGGAGCGGGGATGGGTATGACGCTCCCAGACACATGAGGACATAACTCCTGTTAACGAGGAGCATCAGCAGACCCTGGGGAGGGGAGGCGATGGATAGCTTTTTAAAACATTGAAGACAACTCATTTGCATAGATTGAAATGTACTTTGAGGTGGAGCGGCCTTAAGTTCCTTGAGTAGGTGATCACCCCGAATCTGACTGCCCCCATGGGTGCACCCAGCTGCTCCTTCTGTTGCTCATGGACCTCTGCTCTGCCCCCAGGAGCATCGAGTCTCTGTACAAGGAGCTGGTGGAAGAGGGGCTGCTGATACAGGCGTCGAAGGTCAACCTCTCCGATTACATCGGTAATGTGTGCAAAGGATGGACATCTATGCAGGCTGTCGCCTGGCGTTCTCAGGCCCCAGTGACATGACACTCTAAGCTGTCAGGTCATTTCCCGTGGGGTCCCTGTGGGACCGAGCAGAACAGCCCATGGGGCTCCACACTGTGGCCTTCCGCCCAGCAGCCAGACATGCCAGCCAAGGGCCTGCCGGGACTCCTGCTTGGGTTCGCTTGTTTGGGGTTCCAGCAGCTGGAAATGTGTGCTTGTCCAAACCCAGACCCGGCCCATTGTGGCTTCCGGTCAATGCTTGCTGGGCTCCCAGAGAAGCCCTTGAGTTCCCAGGAGCAGCAGCTTCATGGTAAGGCATGGTGCTGCCTGCAGACTCGCAGAGCGAACCACCAGCTGCTCCCTGGAGAAGGATGGGCATCTCCTCCGTGCGCTTTGTTGGGACTGCTGTTAGGTGCCAGCGAGTACGACTCCTAGTGACCCTGTGAACACACACCTGAACCCTCGCCCACCCGGTGCCCCTCACAGGCTCTGACACACTGAATCCACTGCTGCCGTCACTGTGTCAGTACACCTGGTTGGGGGTCACCCTCTTTGTTTGGGGGGTTTTGGGGGTTTCTTGGTATTTTTAATTTTTTAAATTAATTTTAATGAAAGTTTACAGAGACTTAGGGTTTCTAGTCATTCATTGTTTCACTTTTTTCCTCCCCACCAGTTCACTCTTCTCCTTGAAAAGAAAGGAAAACTCTTTCATTGTTATGCAATCCCTCCCCTCAAGTCCACTCCACTGTGCAGCCTTCACTCTGAACTTCTGAAATGTTAAGAATACCCATTCATATGTCCCTTTTAAACAGTTCTTGCCCTCTTCTGTTTCAATGCAGTACACATCATTCCTCCCCTCCTTTTCTGTCTTCCCTCAACCCCGATGTCAGTCCTGTTTTACAACAGGAGGGTGACCCTCTTTCACCATCCCTCCACCTTCCCAAGCACGATGTCCCCCTCCAGTGAATGTGAGAGATGTACAACCTCTGAAAACACACTCGTGGGTCAGTCATGAGCCAATACTGACTCAACAGCACACAACAACAACAAAACGACAGCTTCACTGAGGAAGAGTCAGGTGGCTTAGTGGTAAGGCGTTGTGCTGCCGATCCAAAACCAGGCAGTTCAAATCCACCCACTGCTCTGTGGAAGGAAGGAGGACACTCACCTCCCATGTGACTCACAGCCTCTGAAAACCCACAGGAGGGTCAACTATGAGTCACTCCCGACTGGACAGTGCATAAGAACGTAACAGCATCGGTAGGTGGACCCGTTCCTGCCCCCACGACACGCAGAAGCAGGGTCTGAGCCTCGGACGAGCCTCCTGGAGCTGGCTTTGTGCCTGAGCTTACAGGGCAGGGACTTGTTCGATGCTTCCAGGTTTCAACACGACGTCAGTCAGTCCAGACTCAGGGCAGCCCTGTGCATGTCAGTGTAGCGTTAACACCCTGGGTTAACCACAGTGGTCATATGGGAGTCGTTTGCCAGGCCTTTCTTCCTAGGTGGAGTGAGTTTGAACCACCAGCCTTTTGCTCAGCAGCTCAGCATGTTAACTGTTGGCACCAGCGATGCGTTTGCCGTCTCTGCAGTTGAGGGCTGGGGCCGGAGGGCCCCTTCCCATGGGTCTGTGATCACGCGTCTCATTTCCCTGTGGATTTTATGTAAGAAGGTTGTGTTTAAATAGGGGGCTCTGGCCGTAAATCCATGGGGAGTTGTGCTGCCCCGCTCTAAGGCCGCACGTCCCTGGTTCACACCCACCAGTCAGTCCATGGGAGCGAGATGGACAGTCTCCTGCTGTGAGATTTACAGCCTCAGAAACCAAGGGCACATCAGCCATGAGTCAGTTCTGCCGTACGGCAGCAGGGAGCATGATATTAACGTAAGACGCTAGTGTGTAGACACGTACCACTCCGTTACCCATCCTCGTGTTACCTCTTCTGTGGCATAGATAGGATATGTGCAGGTCGTTCCACCTTGAGTTCTCTAATCTGGGTTTCCTAACTATGCTCTCATGTTCTGATCCCTGCAAGCATCCCAAGCTCCTCGTTTCTCTTCTCCCTGATGCTCTGAGGTCTGACATCATTTCCTGGTCCTCAATTTCAATTACAGTGAGTAAGGATGACAGAAAGACTTGATGCCTTTGAACCATTGTGTTGGGGAAGAGCACTGAACATCCCCTGGACTTCCAAAAGAAAAAACAGCTATGTCCTGGAGAAGGTGCAGCCAGAGTGCTCCTTGGAGGCAGGAATGGCGAAACTTCAGCTCACGTATTTTGAGCATGTGGCTAGGAGAGTCTACTCCTTGGACAGGAACATGAGGAGAGACAGAGGGTCAGCAAAGAGAGGAAGACCCCCAGTGAGATGGATGGACAGTGACCGCAGCAGTGGGCTCATGATTCAGAGAAGATGAGGATGGTACAGGACAGAGCAGGGTGGGAGTCTGCTGTTCATAGTGTCACTATGAATTGTCCTCAACTCAACAGCACCTAACAACAACAACAACAAATTTCAATTCCTTTTCCTTCCACCATTTCCTATTTTCTGTTCCTCCAGAAGTCCCAGTTTCTCTGCGGGTATCTGGACCATTCAAAGCTCCAATAGAGAAGGTGAAGTTCCTGGTTAAATACTCAGCTATTAGCTGAAAGGTTAGCAGTTCAAATCCACCCAGAAAAGCTTAGGAAGATGAGCCAAACAGCCGTCTCTGACAGTCCACCATCTGGAAGCCCCATGGAGCCGTCCTGCAGCCATTTGTAGCAGTCCCCGTATTGGGAAGTCACCAAGCACAGTACCATGTTCTCCTGACAGACACCCAGGCCAGCTGAGTCCTTCACTCTTAGACCCGGCACCCACTGGCTCAATGTAAGACAACTGTTGACGTAAAATCTGTTAGATATCCAGAACGACTCGTCATCTGTCAGTTACTGTACTGTGGTGGCTGGTGTGTTGCTGTGATGCTCCAAGAGAAACCATCAGGATTTCAAATGACGACAAGGGGTGGCCCATGGCGGATGGGTCTCAGTGGAGTGTCTGGTGTAAGATGGGCAAGAAGGAAGAGTCAGTGACCCACTTCTGAAAAACTGGCCAGTGAAAACTCAACAGACAGCAGCGGGACCCTGTCTCAGTTAGAAAGAAAGTTGCTCCAAAGACAGCTAGAATGGAGGTGCCACCTCAAAGTCGAGTTGACCTTTGTGATGTGAGTGGAGTAAAGATTTCAGGACGTTTATCTGCATATGTGGCTCAGAGTGGGAAGAAACCGCTGCAGCTGTCCATAAAGAAAGGGATGTGGAGGACACAAAGCATGCGTCTAAGAAAACTGGGAGATATAAAAAGTTAAATGGAACTCGAAAATCAATGTTCTAGGCATTAATGGCTAGAATATTGATCACCTTATGATTAACATAGACCAAGCTGCTGTGGGCCGATTTTGAATGGACGGCCGTATGGTATACTGTGCGAGGAAGGACATATTGAAGAGGAAAGGTGTTACATTCATTGTCCAAGAGGACACTGGAGACCTCTCCTGCGATACAAAGCTGTCACTGGCAGGATATTATCCATGAATATTCAAAGAAGACCTTGTAATACGACCGTTACTCAGATTTACGGACCAACACACAAAACAACCAACCGCTAATGCTGTAAGTAAAGGAAATGTAATATCTTTACCAACTTCCGCAGCCTGAAACTGATCAAGCACGCACTCAGGATCCTTCCTGGTGGTTGAAGTTAGGAGGGAGCAGTTGTTGGAGAACGAGGCCTTCGTGACAGGCTTGACACCAGAGGGCACGTGGTTGAATCTGGCAAGACAAATGACCTCATAATGGAATTCTCTTTTTTCAGCAGCATGAACGGTGAGTATCCACGTGGGCCTCACCAGATGAACACACAGGATCCAAATCAAATCCATCTGTGGGAGGAGGAGAAGGAGAAGCTCCGTGTCCTCAGTCAGAGCGAGGCCAGGCGCCAGCTGCCGAGCAGACCAGAATCGCTCATTGTTGAAGTGGAAGCCGAGGAAACCCCAAGTCCACAGAGGCCCAAGGACGGCCTTGCTTCCTTCTCATCTCGAGTGAGACCATCTCCAGGGTCGATTTGATGCATTGAGCATTAATGACCAAAGACCAAATCACATGAGTTCTGGGACGATATTTAGGACATTACACATGAAGAAAGTGAAAATTCATAGTAAACACCACCTTGAACATCTGAAGAAATGCTAAAATTTCCTCTTGCATGTAGGAAGCTCAGTGACAAGAAGACTTGACAAAGTATGAGACGTGAACAGAAGATTTTAAAGGGTGGCTTGAGACCACAAATCAGAGCATCCTCGTGAGATCATGCACAAAGCTTGGAGTTAGAAAACCCACAGGGAGATGCACACCCAGGTTTATCGCGGCTTTGCTCACAACAGCAAAGAGCTGGAAACAACCCAAGTGCCCATCAGCAAACGAATGGAGAGAGAAGCTGTGGTATATTCACACAATGGAATAGTACACTGCATTGAAAGAGAAAGCGAACAAGCATTGAGACCCGAGTGAGAGGCAGCCTGGAGAGCCTGTTCCTCCAGTGTCCCAAACCCACCCTGCAGCCGATCAACCACATCGCCCAGCAGCTCGGCCTTGAGAAGGATGTGGTCCACGTGTGGTTCTGTAACCGGCGTCAGAAGGGCAAACGATCTGGTGATGACTACTCCCAACGAGAGGATTTTGAGCCTGCTGTCTCTCCTTTCCCAGGAGGACCGGTGCCTTTTCCTTTGGCACCAGGACCCCATTTTGGTGGTCCAAGCTATAGAGGCCCTCACTTTACTACTCTGTACTCCCCGGTCCCTTTCCCTGAGGCGGAAGCCTTCCCACCTCTCCAGGTCTCTCCTGTGAGCTCTCCCATGCATTCCAACTGAATGAAGTGCCTGTCCTTCCTAGGAATGGGTGGCAGAGGAAAGGAGAAAATTTGGAAATAGCCATGGTATTTGTACTAGGGC